CAAACTAATGGTCTATCTGACTTGGAGTTATCTTCTATGGATGGTTGGTTCAGCATTATTATGTCGCCATTGTTGTAGACTGATTTCTCCACAGAATCAACTTCTGACATAGCTGTACCATGACTCTATTAAGGAATGCATGAAAAATGTCAATGGAGCACAAATGGAGATTGTGGATGGCAGCAATAGCAAGGACAACTCTGATGTGTGATATGTGGACAGTGGGAGCAAATATTTCAAGGAAATCAAAACCAGGATGCTGGTTGTAGCCTTTAGTCACATATCTGGCCTTGTAGTGCTCAACAGAGCCATAATCACTACTTTCACTGTTAATAGCAGGAGTAAATTCTCTGTGTTGTAGCCACCCTGGTCTAGGTGGTCTCCTAGTTCTTACAGGGCGTCTCAATGCAATAGACAAGTCAGGAGAAGGCAAGCAATGAAGAGGGTGATCTGGAAGCCTAGTAGGTTGATTCACATATGATTTTGCATCAAGGTCCAAATCAAGCCCATAATCAGGTAAGTGCTGAGGTTGCTGAAGTATAGCTGGTGGGCCAATTGGTGCAGGGACATCCTCATTCAGGCCCAATGGCATGGATAGTGAAGGTGGAGTTGGAGTTGGAGGTGGAGTTGAGACATTGTCAGAAGACCTGTTCAATCCAGGGAAGTAGTGCTCATCAAAATCAGCTCACTCAGAGATAATGGTGCATTTGGTGGTAGGATTGAAGAATTTCTCCAACCCTTGTGCATTTCAGGGTAACCAATGAATACACATTTCTCCATATGAGAGCCAAAGATGTTTCTCTTGTCCTTTTGCATATGCACATAGGCAGTACATGTTCAATTGAGAACTTCTGGAAAGTGTCTAACCTCTTGCTGAGAGCTAACAGGGACAGAACTAGAGTCCAATATGAGTAACTTTATTATCAGAGAGTCACAAAGGCAAAATTATAGAATGCTCAGTGAATACTGAACAATAGAGCAAAAGGAATAAAGAGGAAAGTGATTTAGAAAGAAGGGAAAATAGATAGCACAACTAGGTGCAGAATCACCAAAACTAACAGTACAGCCCCAAACGCAAAGGTGAAATATGTCAGGCTTGAGTCCATACCACAGCTCAAAGGAAGTGGCATGGGCTACTGCATCAGTGGGACACCTGTTCCAGACATGCACCAAAGTGGAGAGACATTCACCCCAGAAGCTGTTTGGCAATGCAGACTCTAATAGCATGGTAGTGATGCACTCAGTAAGAAGTCTGTTTGCTTGCTCTGCCACACCATTTTGCTGAGGGTAATTCCTGGTGGTATGCTGTCTGACAATTCCATGGTCATCTGTGAATTGCTCAAATTCCTTGGACATGTACTCTCCCCCTTTAACATTGCACAAAGCCTTGATTTTGTGCTCCAATTGAGTCTTAGCATAAGCCTTGAATCTATCACAACACAATGGGATCCGCACCCGTGTACAGTGATTCTGGACCTTCTGGGCATGCAACCAATCAGTATGCTTTCCAAGTACGCCTTGGTAGCTTAGTTGGTAAAGCACCAGACCATGAAAGCTGGAGTCCCAGGTTCAAGCTCTGGCCAATGCATGTTTTCTCATACTATAAACAAATGTCATAATTTGTCAGAATCTTTTGAAAGCATCAAAGACATCTGACTTGGCCTTGAGAGGCACAACAACACAGAATTGACTGTGGTCATCAATGGAGGTGACCCAGTAGCGATAACCAGAAAATGTGGGAGAAGAGACTTGGTGTACATTAGAATGGATGAGGTCCAAAGGATGAGCAGAGCAAGTATCAGATGAGGGGAATGAATTGGCATGCATCTTGCCAGACAAGCACAGTTTACAGACAGGAGCAGGAGCAGCCTTGGATTCCAATGTAAGCCCAGTAACCAGATCTCTCTGTATTAGTCTCGTAACATCAGCATGATGCTGGTGAGCCAATCTGCAATGCCAAAACATCAAATCAAGTAGTATAGTTGCAGTAAAGTGTCTAAATTCAACACAAGCAGCAGCAGATCCATCAAGGAATGCTGCATTGTGTAATTAATAGCTGCAGTGAACAGAAGAGTGTTGTTACACATAAAAGATATGGAATGAGACAAAATGGTGACATTGAAACCACCTTGACAAGTTAAATACAAGACTGAGAGGAGATTATTTTGAAGATCTGGTACATGGAGCACTCTAGAGAATTCCACAGCCCTTGCCACTTTGTCATTGATCAGAAGGTTAAACACCACAGAACCAACACCAGCTGAATAGACGACAGTGTAATCAGCCAGCTTGATTAGCACTTGATATAGGGTATAGTGGTGAACCCCATGATGATGAGGTGTCATATGAGAAGTAGTGCCTGTGTGTCTGTATGGATGGGTGCAGGTGCTATTGGCAGTGGTAGATGAAAAATGCAAGGCATAATCAACTTCAGCACAACAACGACAATTAATCTCTTCAGCAAAGAAAGCATGGCCCTAATTATGGTCATGCATGTCAGTTCATCATCCAATTTGGCTAATGTGAAGCCAGTAGGACAAAGATTTTGAATCTGATGTATACCTTTGTCAATCCTAATCATAAAAGACTGCAGGGATTTCTCCCCCTTTTTTCTGATAGAGAAGAAATCATCTTAGGCATTGAATCTCGTCCCAGGCTTCTTAGTGATGTGCACAGCAGCAAGTTTCTCCAAGATCTTGACAGGATTATGAATAATGCCATCAAGATGGATACACTGCTCTTTGGTGACATTAAGGTATAATGTACCAGCAGCCTTTTCAGCTCTCAACACACATTTCTCTTGTGCTTCAGCATCAGTCACAGGGCACTTGTCAGTGCCAGAGACAAGCCTCCACAATTCCTTGGTCATCAACCAAGCTTGCATTTCACCACTCCACTGGGGGTAGTTAGTGCCAGACAAGAGATTGAACTTGGGATCAGAGTCAGACATGATGGGTGTTGTATAAGACAATAGAGCAAAGATAAATAATGTAGGAGATGGCTATAGGCAATAGAATAGTGGCAAAAACAATTGGAAACAGTAGGAGGTGAGCAGATAAGATGGTGAGGCGGTGGAGAGAGGATATGGAGAGGGTCCAAAAGTGCAAGGATATGTCCAAATAGGGTCCAAAAAGTGTTCAAAAAGTGATCTAGGAGGGTGCTAAGGCTTCTTAGTGCTGCAACAGGGTTACATCTGTGTTCCCCTTTTAATACTACACTGATATTAACAGAGAAATTGCCTCAAGACAGTGTTGGTTAATAGGGCTTGTATTTGAGTCAACAAAGTGACTTAAGCTCCCAAAACACCACAGACTGAGAGAGGCTCTAGGCAATAGCAAACTGAGGCAATGCAGGCGAGCGCTTTACAGTCTATAGGCTTGTTCTATCTGATAATGGACAGAGCAGAGAAGATTGGAGTTGAAACCAAATCAGAGATATGGGCACCAAAAATATACAGCAACAGATGGCTCAAATATTACAGGAGGTGAAGCACAGGAAATGGAGATATGTAACAGGGGCCCAATAGGGGATCAAATGATGATCCCAGATTGGTTTAAAGGCTCACAGACAGATCCAGCTCAAATTAAACTGCTCTGATGCGTCTCCTAGGGTCATTAGGGCTGTAGAACATGATGATAAAAGTTTGAGGATGATCAGATAAGGATCTGGTGATATATGGCAAAGATAAGACCAAAAAGCATCCAAAATGGGGGTAACAGACAACAAGGAGTTGTTGGAAGAGATCAAGATAAGGTCAGAGTAATCTGAGATGATAGATTGGATAATCAGAGTCCCAGAAGACAATGATTACAATGGGTAAGCAGTAGGATGCTTGGATGGTGAGATATGAGGTCAGGAAAATGGCTAGAGCACAGGGCTCATAAACTATTAAGAACAAAGCTTAAGGGAAGTGTCTAGCCACTTGCTGAGAGTGATCAGGGACTGGAAACTAGAGTCCAATGTGAGTAACTATTTTATTAGAGAGTATAACAGGTATACAGTACCTAGAGCCAAATGTGAGTAACTAGAGAATAGGAAGCATTGGACTCTGCAGTACTGTCCGAAGTTTTGTAAGCAAAGCTAAACAAAGGAGCTGTAGAAATTATATTATGTAAGCAAACTTTGAAGCTTCACCCGAAGATTTACTCTGTGATTTTAACCGGCCTTTTATGGCCACCATTGTTTTTTCACATGATATTACAGTATTTGTTTGCCAAAGGAATCCTTCTCCCGTGCCTGTTCCCATGCCCTGAGGGACCAAGTATCCAACAGGAGCCACAGAGGCGGAATACTGTAATAGAGAACACAACCAATACTAGATAACATAGGAATAGATAGGGAAAAGAATGAAAATAAGTAGGAAGCACTAAGATGCAGAATCATTAAAACTAACATATTGCACAAATCACAATTGATATTATTAATTACTACAAGTCTCAAGCTTGTTACAGATACCAATATTGATGCATAGTACAGTATGTCTGGCAAACAAGCAAGTGAAAAGGCTTGATTTTTAGAAGTTTATCACCACTGTACTTGCATGTGCTGATTCACTTTCTTCAGTCATGCAACATGGATTAATATCACTGATTTATATGGGGATACAAAATCACCCAGCACTATAAAACACCCAAATAGTAGAATATCTAAATGAAGGGGACGGTGGTCCCAAAGGTTGCATGCAAGCCACATTGTGTCGGTTATTTGGCTTAAGTTTGCTCATGTGGTTTTTGTGGCACCAGAGGTGTGGTAGGTGCCACAGGCACCTGACAGTTGCAACTTGTCCTCGTAATTACACTGTGGGTATTGGCTCATTTAAGCCCAATTTATATGGGAGTTCTGATTGGCTAGCAAAAGCTAAAATTGAATGTTTTCAGGATATAAGCTGGGCTTGAATAAGTGTTAACTGTATTTGTAGGTGATTACTTCCTGCTTTTGGGTTCACTGTGGTCACAGTGATTGTATGCCCATGAAGGTTGTTATTTCCCAACATAAACTCCATTTTAGATATCGCAGATATATTTTTGCCGTATTGGCGTATAGCCCAGTTCTATCAGTACTGGACGATATAATATTTGATCACTACTTGTCCCCAAATTTATGATAACTATTGGGGGAATATCGGACCGCTCCAAAGTTCGAGATGTCTCATCTCCACCCCAGTTGTGGCTGTGACTTTTCCGATTTTGTAAACCGCAGCTTCAGACGTCTGCGTCAAGGTTTGCAGCGCTTCATCAAGTTGATCCTCGCCCACGATCACCACCAAACCTATGCCGCTGTTGAACGTCCGCGCCATCTCTAGAGGGTCAACGCTTCCCTGTTCCATCAGGAAGCGGAACACAGGCGGCAACTGCCACGTCGATACATCAACGTAGCATCCGAGACCTCGCGGCAGGACTCTCGGTATGTTTTCGATGAAACCACCGCCTGTTATGTGAGACATGCCCTTTAAAAGACCTTTATTTACTGCAGGAAGGACCTGCTTGATGTATATTCGTGTTGGTTCGAGCAGACTTAGCGCCAGCGTCTTCTTCTCATCCCACGGACAAGGCGACGAATAAGGTAGCCCAGAAAGAGCTATGATCTTGCGGACTAGGGAAAAACCATTTGAATGTAAGCCTGATGATTGTATCCCAAGTAGAATGTCTCCAGGGGCAATATCTGGTCGGGGTAATATCAAATTTCGCTCTACAGCTCCCACAGCGAACCCTGCGAGATCATAGTCGTCTAAGAAAAAGGCTCTACATTGAATACTATGTACGCGGATCGATAAGGAAATAAGTTTTTGTCTGACCTTTCAGATACATCCCTGGCATTTCAGCAGTCTCCCCTCCAATCAGGGCGCATCCAGCTTGCTGACACCCTTCAGCGATGCCAGCGACGACTTGCGTGGCGGTCTTCACATCAAGTTTACTGCATCCATAATAATCCAAGAAGAACAATGGCTCAGCACCCTGCACAAGGAGGTCATTGACAGACATGGCGACAAGATCGATGCCTACATGATGAGTTAGGGATTGTGAATGCCAACTTGAAGGCTGGGTGCTTACCAACAAATTCATGGATACCAGTATCGACAGCGACGCTAAGTTTAGTACCTACTCCATCCGTGCTACTAACGAGCACGGGATCTTTGTAACCCGTTGCTTTGAGGTCGAACACGCCTCCAAAACCGCCAATTTCTGCATCGGCGCCTGCGCGGCGTGTGGCACGGACGTAGGGTTTGATAGCCTCTACCAACAAGCTACCAGCATCTACCGAGACGCCAGCCTGTGCGTACGTCAAGCCTAATGGGCTTTGGGTTGATGCTGACAGCGCCCTACCAAGCGGATCAGGGGCTGACTATCAATCATGGTTTGTATAGGAAACGCTCTCACCTATGGGCAATATCTCTTCGATACACCATACCATCAAAGTTGACCTTATCGATACCGGAGTAAACTAAGTCGAGTGCTTCTCGCAGAGTCGCAGCATACGATGATACAACGATGACACGACCACCCGAAGTTACGACATGCTCGCCAGATACTGAGGTCCCAGCATGAAAGACGACAACGTCTAAATTAAATGGTTAGGATGAAACTCATGTCAACCGACCCTTACTGACTAGATGGGACTTGTCCTATTTCGATCTGTTTTCCTTTGGCGTAATTTCCAGGATATCCGCTGGAGGCCAGAACGACAGAAACGGCAAAGCCAGGACGAGTACTAATGTTAACTGAATCAAGGCGATGCTCCGCGCAAGCCTGTGCTTGTGACGCCTTAGAACATCAAATCATCAAATTGAAAAGGTGGAAAGCATTTCACCAATAGTATTGCTGCCAAGTCTACATTTTCGCTGAGAAGAAGCACCAGAGATTCTGTTTCTGGATCGCCAAATCTGACATTATACTCCAGCACTTTGGGGCCAGATTCTGTCAGCATGAAGCCGGTGAATAGAAGTCCTACAAAGGGGAAACCTGTAAGAATGTGCATGATCAGTTCATTGAAATTGTACGTCTGGTCAGATGGCACCTTCTTTTCTCATGCCATCGATAGTGGGCCGTAAAGTTTCAGACATAATTTGATCCATGATAGCGGGAGAGGCTACTGAAGTGGGAGCATAGGCACCCATACCACCTGTGTTGAGGCCAGTGTCACCCTCGCCAAAACGTTTATGATCTTGAGCAGCTGGTAGGGGGATGATAGTGTAACCATCCGAAAAGGCGAGGACAGAAATTTCAGGGCCAGTCAGTAACTCTTCAACGACAACCTCGCTGCCTGATAGAAGAGCATGGACGTTATAAGTTTAAGATGTAAATTGCCATAATATAGTATCTAACCTGCACCACCAAATATTTTAGTGACCATGATTTCACGAAGACCCTGGACTGCTTCGTCGCTTGTTTCGGGAATGAGTACGCCTTTACCAGCTGCCAGACCGCTAGCTTTGAGAACAACGCGATGACCGCAAGTCTGAACATAATGGATAGCCTGATCGACGTCTGAAGAGGAAAAAACGCGGTATTTTGCGGTGGGGATGGAATGGCGTTCCATGAAAGCCTTTGAGAAAGCTTTTGAGCCTTCCATACGTGCAGCCAATGCACTTGGGCCGAAGACGGGTATCCCGACTGGATGTGCGGATTGGAGCATAGTCGCAGCGAGGAAGGTCAACTAGTACTGACCTTTTCTAAAATAATGCTCTATTCCATCTACGAGAGGCTGTTCTGGGCCAGGGACGACGAGGTCTATCTAAGATGAAGAGAGAATATGGCTATGGAGGGCTAGTGAGACGGTGAAAGAGCATACGTTATTTTCGACAGCAAACGCGATAAGCTCAGATATATGATCCGAGTGTAAGACGACATTTGACGTTTTCGGGTTGTGGGCTGTACCGCCGTTTCCAGGAGAGACGAATATGTACTGGACGAGCTCTGATTTTGCTAGTTTCCAAGCAAGGGCATGTTCGCGGCCTCCGCTGCCAAGGATAAGAATTCGAGAGCTCATGGGCAGGAGGACGTGGTGGAAATGAGGAGAAGTGCCCGAAGATTTCGGATTTCGGCCCACGAACTTCATCAACAAAACAAGGTGATCGTGGCATCGTTTTGCATTGTTTGTAAGATAGGCCTCATCCACAATCGACGCCATCACATGACGTGACTTGGCCTGTGACAGCCAGTGTTACTCTCACTGCAACTTAGGAATTATGCACACAATGAATTATATATGTTCTGTATATAACTCCCTAAGAATGCCTTCTGGAATATGGTGGATGAATGGTTACACTTCGAGTTTTGGATACAGCCATATCGCGGCAACAATTTTTTTTAAATCCCGATTATTTATTTGTATGATCGAGAGCTTGTTTGCAAATATTAATTCAATTGTGCGGGTGTGATGTGTGACTTCAGTGAAGGCAAGAAAGTAGCGCATTTATTCAGTCTATCATACAGGCAGCGTAGCGTACAATGTAGGTATGAGTTTAAGGCAAAATTTGTGTCGTGTCCGCATCAATCGCGTCCTCCATGGCAGTGATCCCAGCCTCAACGGAAGGCCAACGGCTGACACCCGTCACATGGGGGGATGTGAGTTGCCTGCAGAGGAAAGAAGAGTTAAGTAAAACAGTGTATTACGGAAGGACAACTCACCAGCTGGAAAAAATGCCGATACGGTGACCCCTTGTAACTAAATAAACTGCTCCTGTAACAGGACCCTTGGGAACATTGTATGCCTGACCATTGTGGGTCCTGGTACTAGATGCCAATGCACCTATGGCTGCGACAGGAACAGGGGGACCGTGGGATGAAACAGCCAATAGAACAGTGGTAGCAAAGGGAGTCGGCGCGACAGTGGTAGACGACGAGGTCAAAGCGATGGTGGGAGCGAGAGGAACGGGGTTTCCCTGGGCACTGTCAAGGACTGCGGACATCAGCAACATGGCATTGCTGGGATTGGGGGAGACGTGGGAGAGTAAAGACAAAACAACGCCTACAAGATACCGTTTGTGAGTAAGATACAATAGAAATGTGAAATAAAAAAAAGGACCTACCCAGGGTTTTGTCCTCATTATCAACTTTGTCATCACACACCAAACTTTCAGGCTGTTTGGAGCTTGAAGGTGCGGGGGGAGGAAACATTGTCATAATGAAGAAAAACAGGTATAGGAACGAGGACTGAGTGAGCGTAAAGAGCTATGTGAGCTTAAAGAAATATGAAAAAAAAGCCTGACCTTTTATAGAGAGCCAGGACAAACATCCAAGACAGTGGTCATCCCTACAACCAAAAGAAGAGGTGGGGAGGAGCTAAAGAGACAAAGTGAGGAGAGGTCAAGATTTCCTCATGAGAAAGAGAATACATGGAATGGAACAATATCAAAGTCATGTGACACCTTACAATGGACGTGATTCCTCGAGTGATCACCTCGTGCACCTTGGGCCCGATGAATGGTTGACAGAATATGGAGCTGCAATGAGCGTGGTGTCTGTGTCAGGCTCATTGTTGCGACTCATGATATACAGTAGCAAAGTTCCTCTGCCTCCTTACCAGATAATCATTTGGTGGTAAGAACACTGCTCCACCAAATGCAGTGTATCACAGGGCTGGTTTTAACCAGATTCTCATCTCTATTCCAGTCACTTCTTTCAACAGATGTTGGGAGCCATTGTTTCAATTTGGGCACCACTTACGCGTAAGTCTCACTTTGCTTATCTTTTGGCACCCCTTCTAACTTCTTATATTCTTCACAGCCCAAAGGCGGCAGGGGCAGCATGGAGATTTACATGACAAATAACGAGTGAGGCATATGACCCTTCCATCTCTAGCGATCTTCCAGTCACATCCATCAAGAATGTTGAAAGCCATTGGTATCGATTTGGGCACCACTCACTCATCGGGGTTCCAGTCACATCCATCAAAAATGTTGAAAGCCTTCGATATCGGTTTACTGTGAGCCGCAAGGAGATTTGCAGAGCCAACCACAAGTGCTGGGGAGCAAGGTTCAGTAAAGAAGGTCACGAGGGACCTGCTATGGACAAGGATCAAAAAATTCATTGCATGTATGTAGTTACACTTGCTATTACAATACTAGTTACTTCCGCTCCCACCCGGCTGTGTCCATCCTGAAACATAATTGTCATCCAAAACCTCATCTGATGAGTAAATTACACCTGCAGCGAAGCCTTGTACTTTGTCATGAAGTCGAGGCCGGTAAGGCAGGGGATCCATGATGGCAATGAAGTCCGGGTCAGGGCGTCCATCTCCATGTGAAACTGGCTCAGATCTCATCATCGTTTGAAGGACCTCTTGGTCTTGCAGACGGAAATGATTGAGTAGCATGGAATAGACATCCCAGGCTGTGTTCATGGTGACAAGAGGATTTCTGGTGTCTGAGAGGAAAGTTGAGGCCAGTTCATGAAATGCCAGTGGTACTAGAAAGAAAACTTCATGATTGGGGCTCACATACTTCTTGCGCACTTGCTGGAGGAAAGGAATATGTACATTGACTTGTAAATAATGATAAGCAAAAGCTATAGTAAATATTTTGAGTTGAACACGTACCATGAAATCACTTGAGTCCCAACGTGTTGGCTGCTGAAAAATGTCGTCAGGATGACCCTGGGGAAGAATCTTGTTCTTGTTGCGTCGAGGGCATGTTGTGTTGAAGCAATCAGCAAAACAATCAAGCTCGCTCTGTAACCATGGGATGAAAATAAAGTGAAAGACAAGCCTATGCAGAAACTCAATGAACAGAAAGTAGTTACATGAGAGAAAAACACTCACCGCTCTAAGGCATCATTGGGGTTGTATAGGCCATTGTTGAGCCCTTCATCCATGAGTATCTCAAATCCAGGGGACCACCGCTTTCGCAACTGACTCCAGAAAATCTCCGGCTTGACGTTACGGTGCAATCCTTTGAATGCGTGCTGTAATGTTCAGTCAAGACCAGGGTCATGCATATGACACAGGAGAGTCTGGGCATTTGCTATGCCATTGTTCTCAGTACCTGGGTCACTCTGGGTGACAAGCGGCATGCCTGAAATATGTTGCTAGTCATTGAGCAATGATAACATAAAGGGTTAGTACACAAACCACCTAATTTCTCTACAGTATCACAGTACCATGCACAGATTAATCGTGGATTATGGTTCGTCCACCAAATCTTGAGCCATAAGACCTTACCAGAGAATGGTTCCAACCCCACATGAAGGAAAAGTTGAAACCGCCTCCACTTGTCATGTTGGTCAAAGGTCCATAGGTCGTTTACTCCTGCAGTCCAAAAGTAACTACATTTCAGCCTGCAACATTTGCGTGCTGCAACCTCATTAGAATGCACTTTGTTCATGTACTCAAGGATTAGTTGGCTGTTGGTTCGGAGATCAGGTAACTTGGATCAGAGCTCTATATTATATTACTTACTGGGGAGCCATTATTCCCTCCTCATCACATAATGCACCCTTCATGTCCTGGGATCCTTGATTCAGGTATCATTTTTGCAAATGTTTGATGGCAGGTCCGACACTTTGCAAGGTGTGTGCTTGTCCTCAGGTGCTTTGAAGGCCCCACTGCATGCATTTTTTCTTGAGCATAGCGAGACTTGAAGATTCTAATGTTAGTATATCAGAGTGTGGTGAAAGCATAATATACGCACAACAGGCTGTATTTCATTGCATCAAAAGACCCCTTCAGGGACATGAGAATGTCCGGATTTGAGTACCCGGCAGTGACATATTTCTCGATCAAGGGACAAATTACATCATCCGGAGCTATGTTTAACACACCACAACTTAGCGTTGGATACAGCTTAAGGAATGCAAAAATGTACGCAGCCGTGTGCTACTTCCATTGAGTCCTTTGGGGTTGGGCATGAGTGAAGCAAGCTGGTAAGGAGAAAGCGACTTGCAAGCGGCTGTAAGACAGGAAGTCCGAGTCAAATGCAAAGGAGTCGCCAGTACAATTTGTAAGCTTGTTTCACTTATTGCCATCCTCATGTTCTCCTCGTGGAGGAATTGCTGTAACATGGGAATGCGGAACTCAGAGGCGGCCTCTGAGTCACTGACAGATCACTTGAAGAACCTGGTCGTTGTATTCACAAATGGCAGCGCTGGAGTAATGTGCTTGGAGGGATGCAGCTATAAGATGAGGTCAAATAAAGCTGTGATTAGGTCAGCGTCTTTACACAATTTGCTACACTATCATGGTTGACTTTACACCTGTTTCTGATTGCAAGGCCAGGCAGAAATGTGAGCACTGTTTGACGTATTTTGACTGCAATGTCATATTTGTTTACGTCAAGGCTATGAATGGTTTGGGTAGACATTGTTGTCCCGAATGTACCGAGCACTATGACCGAAGGCGCCAGGCCGAGAATGTGGACCAACTTCCCATTGGTAGTAAGTCATATGGCCTATATGATGTCATCCGCTGATCTACCAATCACTACCGATCACTGATTGATTGGTGCTGGAGGTACATTTATAATGTATTACACTGTCCTCACACTCACTTGCCACATAGAATCAGCATATCCTGGATAGTGTTTCAGCTCTGCGGCTGCTAACAGCTTAGCAAACACCCCCTCAAGGCTGCCTTCCCAGGCTTCCATCAGACCAGGCTCTAATACAAGGTTGTATACCCCGGTCGCTCTCTCACGCCAGGCTGTTGACAATAGCTCCGCAATGGGCTATACTGCTAACCATGCTCACCATACCCACCACCGCAATAAGATGGTTGCGGCTACTATTACACCCCAACAACATGTCACTCTGCGAGTGGCTATCCATCGGTAAAAAGAGGAGGGAAAATTGGGCACTGTTTTGGTTGGGGTAAGTTATTGTCCGGCTGTTATTTTTACTTGAGACTTACATTGGTTAGAATCTTGAACGCAATGTCACCCTTCCGGTCGCTTTGATGTGTTTAGAAGTGCTGCGTATTGCAATCAAAAACTTACAGTTGGAATGGACAGAGTGGACCAATAACTATGACCTCACTCTAGATTCACTAGAAATGTATAGGTCGCCGAAGTTCTTACTCTACGACTCTTGTAAGCCTCAGTGGAATTCAGAGCGCCTCATCCTTCACAAAGTCTTTTACCGGGTCAGCGACAAATACCCCATCCCTAAGTTTATAGCAAACTGCAAAGTCACAATCTTACTTGTGATCACCTATGCGCAGTACGGAAAAATCTTAGTTTGCAAAGAGAATTTAAAGGGTGGGGCTGAGAGTGGTGATTGTCTGTCTGACGATTCAGACATTGGTGTGATGGAGAAGGTGAGTATCACACTTTTAGTCTTTCTCACTGTTGCTCAATATAAATAAGTTTTCCGTGCTGCAACCCATCCAAAGAAGAGGGCCAAGAAGGCTGATGAAGATACTATAAGTAACGCGGTATTGCCAAAAAGCGCACAGGTATGTACTGCTCCTGACGTACTTTTAGGACTAATGTTTGCTTTCAGCGTCAACCGGTTATTGCTTCTTCCAAAGCTGTAGCTGCAATCTCCCAGGAGCAATCACAATGTTTGGCTCAGTCATCACAGGTGGGTGGGGTTGTTGGCAGTGACAATGACGAAGACAGAAGTGAGGATGAGGAGGACTTTTATGTACCTAATGAGGAGGAACTCAGGCGTGTTATGGAAAAGCAGTCTAATGTTTGGGTTCAGGCCAATCCTCTCTGTAAGTTTTTGTGTCTCTTTCACTTCAGGTTCTCGTATTGCTTTTTTGCAGTAAAAGATGACTTAGGGATGTACACCCTATTCCTGGTACCTACGGCTACATTGAATTTGCTCCTCAAGACGCCCTCGCCTTTCAACATCAACAATACAGACAAGCAACCACATGCAAGTCTGACAGTGGACTATAGTAGCAAGTCAATGCTTGGACCCCCCGGAAGCTTCAAAACCTGTCACCCTGTCTTGGTCGACGAGCTCTTTCCTACCCCCGCTTTCCCTATTCAGACCATCATCTTCCTACACGGAGGAGATATTGTCGCTAAACAGTGGTACTACCGGCTTTGACCTAGCACAACAAGTGCTTCAATATCGGCTTCACCCTCGGGCAGGAAGCGGCTGGCTATCAAAGATGAGTTAGCAAAAATGCTCGTTGAAGCCAACTGCATGTATTGGGGGTGTAGTTTGATGAAAATAGTTTATCAATTCATCAGCAATTCTAACTGCAAAGAAGGTCTCACTGAGCTCCCACCTCCCACAGTACCTCGCTTGTGTATGGTCTATTCTACCATTGCCGTGCCAGTTGTGCCAAGTCTAAAAAGTGCAGTGTACCTGCTGGAGGAGCGAATTGAGGGTGACTTTGTGAAGTATATTAACAACAATAGCGCCTCACCTCGACCTGGCTTGAATAACAAGCAGAAGTTGATCGCCGAGTTTCTTTGTTTCACGCAACGTGTCCAGTACCATCTCTCACATGGTTTGGCTTTCTTGTCTGATTTTCAAGGTAGTTCTTTTTCTCATATGTCCTAATTGCACAACTTACTAAATTGTCGACTCCTTTTGCAGGTGCCGGTTTTCTGTTGACTGATTGCTAGGTGATCACAGCAAGGTAGGTTTCATTCAGAGTCATTTTGCCTACCAGCTCATTGCATGTCTTAGGAGTTATGCCACTTCTGTTGGTGAAGGCAATTGGACGGAAACTCTGTATAATTTCCCTTATCTTTACTGCTGCAACACTTACTGTGCTTACCACAACCTTGGTCCCATTGTTGAGACTCGAGGTCATTGTCCTCAGTCAGCATCTTCAAAGTCAAACATACCGGACAAAGGTGATGATAAGAACATCCAGAGCACTTGTTGCAAGTGTTGAGTGTTGCTTTTATGTTGTTTTATTTCACTTTGTTGTAGTCTCCCACTCATCACTCCATATATGTTTTTTGAACTTGTCTTATACTCTCTCAATGGCAATCTCTGTAACGCATCACAGTATATTGTAATTACATGGACATTAAAGTTTGATTTATGGTTAAGGTACACATTTGTTGATCAGACCCATCGGGATTTTGAAAAATTGTTGCCGCGATACGGCAGTTCCAAAACTTGAAGTGTAACCATTCATCCACCATACTGGAAGGACACAATGTCCATGATATTTCTTTGAAGCCCATCCTGCCTGCTTCCCATTGAGGCCCTTCTTGTATGCATCAATGAGTCTGCATGATCATGTATAATATCTGCCAGTGGATGGTGTTGTTGAGTAATATTAAATGAATAAGGTGGAGATATAATGCTCACCGTCACATGGTGTCAAGAGGCACTGATTCCAAGGCTGCAAGGATGTTACATTCTAGATCAGCTTCCTTTGATGAAGCAGGGTATTGTTGGTAAATGTGCTTTGCAAAGCCCCAACATTGCTCAATAAAGTTGAGTTCACAGTGGAATTAAACAAGATGCGCCGGCAACAATAATTAGTGACCCCTTTTGCACACTTGAAGTCTGGACATTGAGCACGGAAATTTGACTCTGCAACAAAGCCACGCTCGCTGAGAATGATAGCCATGCCTTTGAAAAACCCAGCTTGTGGATGTCCAGGCTCAAAATAAAGTGACTGCTTTGTGCCATCAGCAAATGTTGCTCCCTCCATGTGAACCTTTGTTTTTGAGGGCTTCCCATTTGGGCTGTACACTGGTTTCCCATTATCATCTCGGACATTAACATCAATACCCCAGTTGCTATCTGGCTTTGATGCAAACTTGGGCATGTGCCTTGCAGATAGGGCACTATTTGCTCGCTTCAGGTGAGTTTTGGCATTGTTGTAAACAAAGATATGCTCCTTGTCTGGATAGTGCTCTCCACAATATCCATTGCTTTGTTTGCCTAAGCAAGGATCTCATCATTGGTGAAATAACCTTCGCAATTCTTGTCAGCTTTGAAGACAACACACACTTGTTCTTTGCCATTAGGTGACCTCAACCAACCCTGGTCGGCAGAGACCATGTCAGCGACCATTTGAGATGCCCCCTCACCCTTAATATGCTTTCATTCCAGGTGCCATACAGGATCACAGGCAGCTGTTCACAATCATTGATAAATCCATGTATCCAGTCTTGCAGCCTCCGTGCATAATATGGACCCTTTTCAAGGTTTTTTGCCGTCCTTGAAGATGCAGCCTGCCAGCATCTTTGTTTTTCTGATGTGGAGCCAACATATATCCACAGAAACTGTTGCATGCCTTCCAAGCAACTACAGAAGAGTAGATCAAACTCTGGGTCTTTGTATCCTCTCCCACTATGTCTTGGTGGCCTCAATATTGTTTTGAGGTCATCTAAAGCTAAAGTAGCTTCTTTGATAGATGGTGGAGGCTCAAATACTCCAATTGATGAAACCACTGTATTATGATGCAAGACTATATGAGGTGAGCTATCAATTGGCTCTGTAGCCTGTCGCTCACCCTGAGTCATCATACTGGCATTATCTTGTACCACAGCCTCTGCACATCCATTCATTTCCCTCATGTGATCATCACTGGCATTCATCGGCACTGTTGGAGCTGCCTCTGACCCTTGTACTATGTTCAGGTTGGCCTTAGTTGACACTTCTGGGATGGTTGGATGTGCAGGTGAGTTTGCTCTTTGGGATGTAAACAAAGCTAATTGAGTGCTGATGGCTCTGAAAAGCCTACATCTTTTCTTTTGAGGACTTGCAGGAGGTGAAATCATGGTGTCTGAGGGCGGTATCTATGAGTGTTATGTCAGTATGCATAGAACCTATAGTCCAATGAAATGACCACACATTTTCCTTATTTTCTTTATTGCTCTTCTTTCGGTGAAGAGCACCTTTAAAATTTGACCAACCACCAAGGTTGGTGAGCTGTTTTAGTTTACACTTTGGCATTGTGTACTTCAACACAGAATCCTCAGCGCTCAGCAGCACAACACGTGACAATGCAATGTGGCTGAATTTTCAGTCATATTTGTCGCAAGAAATCTATCTTTTCTTACACAACATTGTTTTTCAAGATTTTGCTTGCAGCAATCTACTTCTACTTATATTTACTGCATGCAACTTTTCTCACACAGGAAAAATCTAAATAATTTGACTGGAATGAGAAGATAGCAAATTCTCTCATTTGTCTTGAAGTGTAACTTAACACTTTTGTCACATGATGGTGTTGATTGTGGATGAGGTCTATCTTAGAAGTGGACCATACTGTTGTTCCCTGGTTTTTTGGATTTCATGGGCCAACCGGATATCACAAGATAACGCTGAAGTCACATAATGGTCACACATGCCATTTTGATGCTCGGCATAAAATAGGTGTAAAATTTCACCAATTCACTGGTCACTCCCAGTGAAAACTGGCTCTACGGAAATCAAGTGAAATCTAGTGCACTGTTATGACTCGATTTCCGTAGAACTATGAGACTTTTTTTTGTAGAATAAATCTCAGCAAATCAAGTGAAATAGAAAATATTGGGTGACTTTCCATAAGCATTTATACAGCTGAATAGAATAAACACGAGTAACAAACAGTGATGGCCAAGATCCAGCATCCCTATTGGGTGCTATTTGCAATGGATCATTATTTTGACCCCATGAATAAATGTCATTAAACTGCACATTTAGAAGAGGGGTACCTACTCCCCTTCTAGACTTTACAGACTTAAATATATTATTCTTTGTCTGCATTTGGACATACATCCGAGCGGTCAATGGTCTGACCCTATCAACCCACATTGAGAGTTTCTCAAGGCTGCTATTCAATCAAGCACAACAGCATGAATTGTGCTCTCAATGCACAGTTTCTCACTACTACATCAGTACTGTTTTTGTGATATAAAAGCCTGAAGAAGAAGTGCTTTTTTTGCTCCAATGTATGTGATATATAGCAGCCACAAGTGCCAGTGTGGTTTGTTCAAGTGGGTTTGATGAGTTCATTGTCAGACTGTTCTTCGTCAGATTGGCTTGTAGTACTTGCTTCACTCAAGTCCATGATGACTCTGTAAGCCTATTCTCAGTGCTCAATCAGTCCTTAATTTGAATGTAGACTGCAGATATTTGACGTTAATTAGATTTATTCAATAGGCTCTTGTGGTTTATTCAAGTCAATAAAATATCATGGGCGGTGCCTTGGCTAGTTTGGATAACATGTTTATACATTGTTTGTATTGCGGAAACCTTATGGAAAGTCACCCATTGATTGGAACAGATTACAATAGATTTAAATAGATTGTTCCTGGACCCGCAGGATCCAGGTTTCAACTTCAATAACTTTCCAGGCCACTCTTCCTGGCCCGCTCACCGTATAGCCAGCAAAAAATGCCAAATCAGACATTCCACTTTTTTTTCCTCATCTCTTACACCACTAATCTGGGCAAACCTCTCAGAAATGGTAAAAGAGCGCTACCTCTCACAGAGGTTTACGGAGATATTTGTAAGATAATATTTGTCAATATGTGGCCAATAATAACCAAATAGATAATATAAATGCATCCCGTACAGTAGTCCCAAGTGGTTATACAAGGCCTTCACGGAATGATTCAAGGACATTGATAGTCACAGCTGATTGGTTTGTTTTTATCAGGCAATATCCATGATGACATATTAATGTCTTGCAAATAGCTGAGCTGTGTCTTTCAGGCCTCTGTAATGATGTGCAGAGAATACCCGTACCTGTAGTTCACGGAAATGCTTTGTTAATAGTTTTCCTGACAGGACAACTCAATGTTTGAGAGGTGTCTGCTGCCCAGCTTGCTGCACCATAATATGATATATGTACCAATATCCATCACATAGTATCATGGCATTTGCAATTCACTGTTCCATCCAAGGTTCTGATACTGATACCAAGGTAGCAAGGGTGTGATGATGACATTAAATTCTCCACTGAGATTGTACCGTACTATAGAACGTGCAATGAATGAATACATGAACAAATGTGTGGTAGACAAAACAACGTAGGAAAGCAGCTTAAACAAAAGAAACAAAGAGACTGTAACTACTGGCCCTTCACCAAATCAACTGAGCATGAATCATCCTCTGCCATTCAATACTCACTGAGTTGACTGGAGGGACAAGTCTTCCTGGCTCGGCATAAATTGCCATGTCGACTTGGAGACTCTCAGTAAAGAAGCTGCAACAAGGATCAGATTACCACAAGACAGTTATCATTAAAAAACTACTCACTCTTTCACGTTATCTTCCCATTCCTCAGTGGTCCCCATCTTTGCAAACTCCCAGAACTCTTCGAGCAGCTGGTGTACATATACCCAGAACTGCTTGTCTTGTTATGATAACACAATTTTCGGACCTTTCCTTTAATTTTCATTCTCCGCTTTAACCTTTTACTATAGTTCACACTCCGTGCCATGCAGCACTTTCCTTTTTTGTTCTAACTCCACCTTCTCGTGCAGCGCTGCCTTTATTCTTCTTTTAGACACAAACTCTCTCACACAGTGGAGCTGGTCACACGGGCTGCGGCCTCTGACATCATCAGCCACTGCTTTTATTAACTGTACAGTATATAGGTACAAACACTCTGTATTAGTATAAATACCCCAATAGATCAAAGGAGACTCCTCAGCAAGTTCTCCTGTTGTATACCAACAAACTCTCTGTGGCTTAAGGGGTAACCACTCCCTCCTCACTACCTTTATAGTGTGTTCTTGTGTGCGCCAGAGTAACTAACTCTTGGTTGTTACATGTCTTTCCACACATGGGGGGTGCATGTCTCTTCCGCATCTTGCTCGCTGTTTGGAGTCATCAGTTGGTGTTTGGATTGATCAGTTGTGCTGTTATGGCCACCAGCTTCTTGTTGCTCAGCGGCTGTTGTGTCTTGACTGAAGCTTTGTGAGGCAACAATCCTGCAAAACTCCACTAGCGAGGCGCGCTACACAGCACTGAGCATGTTGCAAAGGAATGCATAAGACTGACTTACCAGGAAAGCAATTCTGGCCCAGTGGGCCAGAGTAATCTCCATCACTCCTGGCGGAATAAGAGATTTTGTCAGTGTGGCAATATTATGTTTCTTTTGGATACTCATCCATAGCTAGAATAAAGTAGAAGTAGTTTATTAGCTTGTGCAATACTATCTGATGGATCCTTACCTTTGGCTTTATGTTCCCTCTTGCAGGTGTTCATAAGTCATTAATCAATGAGTTCAACTTGCTTCGGATTTTGGGATCTTGCAGGAACTCCGGATTGATCTTGAAGACGTTTAGATTTCTCTCAAGAAATTCCTATACGAGCAGCTGAAAAAATAAGAAAAAGATTCAGGCTTGTAGACGACTATTTAGCAGTTTCTGGGTGTTAACAGTGAGTTTTTCAAACATGAAGAAAAATAAGAAACCGCTCACCCTAAAATCCACTGATTCCAATCTTTCCAGGGCTTTGACTCTATTGCTAGCTTGACAAATTGTGTCCATGGAAAGGAGGTGGCCTTTGATGTTGAGCATCATCTTTACCGTACAGCCCAGCTTGTGAAAACTACGTTGGAATAGTCAAGGTCAAAGCTTGTTAGCCTTGTTAGACAATACATGTCATGAGTTGACATTAGTACAAGGGCTGGTAGCTCAGTTGGTTAGAGCACTGCCATATATCAGTCTTGCCAAAATAATAGCACAATGTACTTACCTCTGCAAAAGCATCAAGGCTGCAGGGAGGCAGCTTGTAAGTCTTGTTCACTTCCACACCCAGCCCTTTGAGACACTTGATACTTGTTTGATTGGACTCTTCAAACAAATAAGACCGGGGACGAGTCAAACTTGCCCATGAAATGCAAGGAGTCCTAGGCAGACTGGAAAAGATTGACTCCACACCCCCACCCAAGGCCAGTGGGGACTGTGGAGATGTTCCACCATTCAGATTTCTTGCGAGGCTATCAACAACCTGTTGTTGCTTGAATTGAGAGAGCAAGGACATCTGAGCTGCCATTCTGAAAGAAAATGGTGAGCTCTGGGTGTGATGGTGACTGGAAGGGAAGGGAAAAAAATAGGGCCCAACTCAGATGTAAGCAAACCCTTTAAGCTTTATGCCTCCGTGAACATGATGGAGCAAGGAAAAAACAATAATCCTGCAGGCCCCAAGCAATAGCTGACATGCAGAAAGATAATACTTAACAGGATCAAAAAAGTCAGATTTGTCTCTGTGAATGCTAGTTTGAGTTGTGATGATATGAGGGGTATGAAGACCGGAACAGTGAATATAATGGCTGCAAAGGCTGGCCTGGTGAATATGAGGGCTGTGACACCATTTGCGTCTGAGAATAGTCAGTCTGCAGATAGGAATTTGGCGGAGGCAATGGATTTTGATGATGGTGGTAGTGAAATGGGCCAGGGAGCGGAATTTGATTATGATGATACTGGTAGGGAGTTTAGCTGGGTTGTGGTGTGGGTGGGAAGAGCATTTGAACATTTGATGGCCTGAGCCTCAGTTGTGGATAAACTTGCTGAGTGAGAGAAAGAGGACAACTGTCATTTGAGGGCCTACTGCTACTACTTCCTTTACTTTGGCCTCTTTGGTTGGTGTGCGGTCAAAGGCGGGCATCAGTATCGGTAGAACAGCAGTTCCTTGGTTGTCAAGGAAGCTGGTGGTGCCTTCCCCCTGTGCCCCTTGAAGAGCCTTTTTTTCACGTATAAGCTTGGCGGCATTCAGTTGAACCTCTTCAGCATTGCAAACCCTAGGTGTTTTGATGCAAAGTTGTGGGGGAACTACAGAATGGATATGACTGTTATTATGAAGTGTGTAGATATTTAGAAAATATTAGTTGAACTGCTTGTGTGGTCCCGCTGTATTTTTGCCGCACAGGAACCATTTTGACATCACTACAGTTTGCAGAACATGAGTCGTGCAAAACATTAACCGTGCAAAGGAAATTCTATAGAGAAGTCGGTATTATAGTTCAGCAATAATGGAAAATAAATTACTTTTGGGGTAAGCACATCCTGTACCTCCGTAATTTGCAAGCAAGGAATGAGAAGATTGGGGTGTGGCGCTGGCAGGAACTCTAGATAAGTAATCACAATATGAGTGGCCACTCATGGCTTCTCCTCAGTTACAAGAATCTCTATGACTTGGCCAATATGTGGGTGGTTTTTGTTAGATGCAGAAGAGATGACTACATAGCTACCAAGTTTTGCTTCATCACCATTCTGTGTTATGAATGCTGAAGCCTTCATCATCCTTGGTTGATTGACTGGAGCGGTACGGTGACACTTGATGTAAACCTGTGCTGAGTGCGTTGATTTCCAGGGAATATATTTTTGCGGTTGGTGTTGTGTTGCACTGAAAAACTGTACCCGCTACTTTTTTAGGATTCAGATGGAGTCCCAACAGATGACATTGCTTTGGGTGGTTAGTAATGTAATCATGTATTGTACGACCTGCATTTAACCAATTTCCAGTAGTGGGGTCACGCCAGTACGCACCCGTAGCAATGTGCTTGATGGTGTCTTGTGAAGCAAAAAATTGACAGCTATCCCGACTAGGAGCTTTCTGATTGCTGTAAACCAGTAAAAGCCAAAAAATGTGGTTGAAGGATTCATACCGTTTTGTTGAGAACAGCAAAGCTGGGCCAAATCTATGTATAAAGGCTGGTAAGTGGAGCAGAAAATGAAATTTTGGTTTTGTTATTAGTATACTGGGCACACATTTTGCAGTGACGTTCAGAAAGTCTTCAATGGTTTGTGAGAGTTGAGCCTGTATGTGTTGTCATTCACAGTCTGCAATATTAATGGATTAGGACTCACCAAATACTCCTCGGTATTGTCAATTTTTGTGTGCCACAAACCACCAAATCACCAATGATACTCCAAGCATCAAGGACATCTTGCAAAACTAGGTCATAAATTATATAAAGCATTACCCGGGCAAGACTTTTAAAATGTTTTCCAATAAGGCTGCCCTTGAATTGACAGATATATTCTGCCCCAAGCTGTATCATATTGAGGCCATCCTTGTTGATAGATTCAAGCCGAGTCTGGAATTTAGTTAGTAAATGTGACTTCTCGAGGAGCCATACTGTTTGCCCCCAGAAATACTTTGCTACACCCAATAATACGGTGTGCAAAATCTCAGTGGGAGTGTCTTGATGAATATCAACTGCTAGCATCCCTAGAAGTGGGTTAATATGATGGTCAAGTGTAGAAACCTGCAGTAGGGTCTCAAGCCCCTGTCTGAGTTGCTGGCGCACTTCTGTTTCAGGTAAAGCAGGCTTCCCTGGTTCACCCTTACGCAATTGCTTGCCCAGTGCAACCAAATGTTGAACAATTGAGGTGCTAGTGCTGTCGCGTATCCCTGAGTTTGTTGCCACAGTTTTCACTTTATCAGTTCCACCGGACTCAAGGAAACTATCCACTTGCCGGTGGATTTGCTCTTGCGTCTCTTCAGGGGTTTGAGGTGGCCCACACTGCAAAAAAAGGAGAGATAGAAGGGTTAAAAAGACGAGATAGAAAGAAATGGCTTACTTTGAATATGCTCTGATATCCCTTGTTAGTTTTTTTCTGTGCTTGAGTGCCGCCAACTTTACACATTCTGCATAAAAAATTACTTTTTAGCCCTGAATGGCTACACTCCTCAGTGTGCATGGGGTTGTCTCCTGCAACAAATAGAACGTAAGGAAGTAACATGACTTCTTGCTCATACTTGCAATCCCAGGTAATAACACCCGAATCTGCTGCTTCGCTACATGTGATCTGTGTAAGATGTATGGATGACATGAGACAAGAGCTGTTACTAACTGGATAGAATCAGTGACCCCTTTCATTAACTCCATCAGTGCAGCATGTGGTGAGGATGAAAAAAACTGGACAGAAAACTTCTTCTCAAGCATTTCCCGAGGCATTGAGGTGTTAGAGAGGTACACTACATGGTGCTTGTTCCACTACTTTTATACATTGCCAGACACGTCATCCATGAAAATTATTAGTGGGACCGTGAGCACTAAATGGCCAGCTGATTTAGTGCAAAGGGGGTCAGGCATTTGAGTGCCAAACTGGGCAGATAATTCTATTGCATGCATCAGTCAGAGGACTGAAAGATTGACGTGAGGACATATGACTTACCAGTAAATCCAGTAGATTCCTGCGGGTTAGCCTGAATTTCCTTGAATGTCTGCACAAATGTGAGTGTTGGTGCAATGATGCACTCTGGATCCACAATGAAACCGGCCTATAATTGAGAAGGGTTTGAAATTTCAGCAAGACTTATGGAGGTAGAATACTTACCTCAGATGGAACAACAGAGTGCCCAATAGCTAGTGTCTCCACAATACCTAACTGATCTCGAGACTGAAATATTTTCTTGGGGATAAAATAGGTGCCATTGTTCTGTTGTAGAAGTTTGTCAACAAAATATATCTTAAAAGGTGCCACAAGGGAGGGAGGGAGATCATGTAATATCTTTGTTCAATGGTGAACTTGAGACATGGAGCCATTGCCTTCTTTGGGGTAATCTTGCATGGAACATCTCGTAATCGGGTTTGAATAGTCCTGTTTATTGTTGGGTTGAGTTAGTTGGGCTACTACATGCCTGAAAAAAAACCTACATTTGCAATCGCTCGAGTGACTGAATTTTGATAGAATACATTACCGAAATTTGTAGTCTTCTTTTTGGTTGGGTTTCCTACAAGTTTGCAAATCCTTTTTTTGGCATTTCTTTAATGCATGGAGTGTTGGAACATTGTGCGCTGATAGTTTTTTGGCTCAGGACAAAACGGTCTTTTTCTGAGCATGAGAAAATTGGAGTCGGGGCGGACTAAAAAGAAAGTTAGTTGCAAACACCTGGCAAAATCAGGTTAGTATATTCTCAGGTCACATTGTTGCACTGGTGTGAACATCAGTTTGCAATGTTTCAAATATGCTATCAGGTATATCTGTTGATAGGACCTTTATTGTGCACAGTTTTTAAGGAGGAGTCTATGTACCTGGACATTCAATGCCAAAAATGTCACCATCTCCTTCTATTCGTAGTTTTTCAGTTGCATGATGCAAACGGCACAAGAAATGACTATTGCCTTTGCTTAAAGATTTGCAAATTTTATGGTAGATATCAACATCAGGCAGTAGCTTGAAAGTACGGAGCCCAGAATCTGATTCCCATAAGTCTTGAAGCAGAAGTGGCTGGTCTTGGGGCCCATTACTCAGCTGAGGTGGAGGTTCACTGTATGGCAAGGAGAGGCTGAATCAGGACAGAATATATTTTGAGAGGTTCAGACTCGCCTTGTTCAGAGTGATCATAATTAGCACAGCCACCCAAGTCCTTGCGCATCAGTTGTGTTGAACTGGTTCCCACCCTCACACTTTTGCCTCCACCAACTCAATGGCTACAGTCGCATCAACAATTTTATATCCCAAGGTTGCTAGTAGGGACTGGGGTGCCAAAAATGGTTTACACCCATTGAACATGAGTTTTTTGTTTGAAGGATCAGTCCCAAATTCAAGGATTTCTTTTGCAGAAGTGGTGGGTTTTCTTTTTTCCCCCCTCCATCCTCTTGTGCTTTGCAGTGATAATCATCATCATATTTCTCAGCCGTTGAAGGTGACAATCACGCTCCCAACAGACTGTGCTGGCATTACTCCAGTTATAAAGTCAGGACCTCTGGACTTCATGTACGGCTCCAGTAGCTTACAGTTGGTCCTTTGCCAAAACCCCCTCTCATTCTTGCCTCTCCACTTCAGCTTCAATCCTTACAATGCACAGTGTTGGATTGGACTGATGAATAAGATTCAGTGTTGGCTGCTGATAGAAGTTGTTGATGGGCACTCTCTGGAGTAGACTTGGGGTTGAGAGGTTTTTGCTTATATCTGACCATCATGTTTTGTCAAACATGACTTAGGCATAGGCCAAATTTAGCGGTGTACTTTCAATTTGTTTCCTCTCTATACTTCCATGGGAAACACACCATTGTCTTCTACTGAATCCTGTCCTGAAGCAATTGTTGACCTCTGTATGTTTACTCTTTCACACCTCTCTGCTCATCAGTTTTTTTTATTTCACTTGCAGATTCCCCCTTCCACTCTGAGTGTTTTGGGTCTGGTATGGTGAATTTTTGTTATCAACTTTGCCGCGCTGACAGTCCTCATATTTGGGATTTTGTTCTTTGGCATTTATATGGAATTTTTGTTCAACTAAGAATCCACGCATGAGGTGCATTGCCTTCCCGCCCTCCTTAGGGATGGCCCTGATGAGGATGGTTTAGATGGAACATCTTATGTATCATCTTACTTGTTGCGCAAACATTTTCGATTCCATGCAATTTTCCATGGTACTTCTATACACCCACATGATATTTGGCCATCAGGACCTTTATTAATTGCCAGTTTTCCTGATCAACAATCTTTTCTGACTGCTTGCGAGTGCTTTCTGCTGAAGAAAGATTTGTTGGTTATAGCTAATGACCATGGTTTGAGTGTAAGGAGGGATTGTTTGAAATGTTGGGTATTACAAGCCATACAGTATGGCTTGTAATATCCAATGTACATAAGGTAATATATGATTTTGGGAATATATCTCTCAGTCAGGCTTCAGTCGTTACCGACAAACTTGATGAATATCTGTGACAGCATGTTGAGAATGTCAAAGGCCCTCTCCACTGGTGGACTAACAACAAAACTTTATTTTCCAAACCTTCATTGTATGGCTTTGGACTACCTTAGCATTCCAGGTGAGCCTGACTATAATCACTCATTTTGTAGCTCACTTGACTGTCTTTAGCCACTTCAACTGCAGTTGTGTGTGTGTTTTCACAAGGCAGATAGCTACTGCACTTCACACAAAACTGGCTCTCTGCTCATTCTATTCGAGCTTTCCTGTGTCTTGGCTCCTAGGTTTGCCATGATATGATTCCATCAGATGTCATTGTAGCTGCAGTCTGGCCAAAAAAGCAAAAGCATTCATCAGAGTGATCAGTTACATATGCATGGTTACTATATTACATGTGTGCGTGCCCTGTCCATGTACCAGTAGACCCCTTGTATAGCAAAGTTTACTTTTTCCATGCTTGCCTCACCTGCAAGTCTTTGCACACCACGGGTACATAATCATACCTTAATCTTATGGGTTAGTACAGACCCTTGCAGGGTACAGTATTGGTGGGTACGGGTATGGTGTCAACCCGTGGTGTAACCCGTGAGCAACCCTAGCCATACAAGGGCATACCTGTTGTGGTTGATGTCCTTCCTGGACTGTTCTATTTTTGGCTCTGTGTCATGACCGCTCACAGCACCTACCTCATCCGCACACACCCATCTCTTATCACAACATAATACAGCAACATCTTGACGCTCTATCGGCTGATTGCAATCACAAAGAAATAATCTGCCCATTATTCCTGCTGATCATGTTCATGCTTTCCCTCACATGCTAACTGTTGATGATCGTTGTAAAATAATTGACAAATGGCAAAATGTTATGGGTGTTAACAAATAGATTTGAAAGAGTTGTGCTGTTTGTTGACAAAGGGTTTTGCCATCCGCCATTACTGAAGTTCTTCCACAAGAAAATTGTTTCAAACTCATTGCAAAATCCTGCATTACCGCCCGCTACATATTCCACCACTTATAACTTTGAAGTGTACAGCCGCGCCTTGTTATGGCACAAAGCCTTGCACAACATTCATCAGCCTGGAATCATTGACATGTGCCAGTCTTGCCACCGAACCCTTGTAAATGACAAAAAACAACCTTTAGATGCAATCACCAACTTTCAACACTATGCTATTTCAGAATTACCTTTCAATATGGCTGACTCCGTTGCTTGTAGCACAATGTATGATTTGATGATGTTCTCATGCACATCCGCTACTAAAATCTGCTATCTGTTTTTGAATAAGCAAGATAGCCCTGCGTATGGGTCTTCTGATGCATTGTCACAGAAGTTTGTCCATGGAAATGTTGTGGTGTTTCCACAGGATTCTGTCCACTTGCGCAATGTTCTGCCGCCTGCCCATGATGACCTTTCAGATGCTATGTGCACTCTATTTGTGGGAGTTGCTACAAAACCTTGCAGAGAAAACATTGCGAAGTTGAGACCGGTTCTTGTCTCAAAGCACAGGGTAGCAACCATGATAAAGTTCTTGGTGGAAAATAATATTTGGTATCAAAACGCTGGGGTGTGTTTTAGTCCTGACAATTTGCAGGATTCATTTACAGAGTCATCCAATGAAGCTGTTCCAGTTGCCATTGACATTTGTCATCTACCTACCGATCGTGGTGCAGATACTTCTACTGCTGGATATATGAACAATGAATCAGATGACTCCTTGCCATTCAGCGATGACAACGGTTCCCCCTTGATGGATGCTGTTGGTTATAGTGCAGGTGACTATACTCCATCCAACTTCAAACTCGTGAAAGCTGAGGCTCTTGCTCATGTTCTTGATGGTAAAAAATTCATCTGTATGCCGAATGGTTCTCATTTCATGAACAATTGTGACCCTGGTTTGTTGACTTTTCTTTTCCCTCATCTTGACCCTTTGGGCATTGGGGGTTTCCATGATCCACGGCGCCATAGAGACTAACAGATTTCCTTTGAACGCCAAGTCCATGACCTCCTCCATCATGATGACTCACTTTTTGTCAAAGACCCTCATTTTGTGTTTGTGTGCTGGAATATCATCCAAAAAAAAGAAGTTAGCCAGAACATAACATTTTCTCTAAAACACAGTGAGAGAGACTCCATTGCAATTGAGATTCAAACTCTTGCTGCAACATTAACTAACCTGATTTTTAAGTGGATAAACTCTCCTCGGGCAAGGCCTTCCAATCGTAAAGAAAAGTGCGCATTAAAAATGTTGAATCATTTGAAATTTGTTGCAAAGAATTTCAGAGGTAGTTATGGATATAAACTCTGCTGTAGAAACAAGATATGTGTCATACTGAAAGAGCTTGCCACACCTGCTTTGTTCCTGACTTTAAATCCTGCTGATATATGCAATTCCTTGCTAGGTGTTATTAGCAGTATGAGCTCCGAATAATGAATGGGTATAAACACCTTTCAGCGAGGAGTTTTTGTTGCTAACAATCCAGGCCCTGGGGCTGAGTTTTTTTATACAATGATTAAAAACTTCATTCAGATCATTCTTTGATTTAAGTGTGGGCCTGGCTTGTTTGGGACGTGCACTGCTTACTACAGTATGGTAGAAGCTCATGGCAGAGGCAGTTTACATTGCCATATGCTTATCTGGCTAGACGGTAATCCTCATCCTCAGGATCTTTGTGATTGCATGTCAGTGGACCCTGCATTCAAAACATCTATGTTTCAGTGGCTAGAATTTATCATTTAATGCCACTTGCCTGGCATAATAGAACCTGACCTAAATCCTCCTCCGCAACGACCACCTTGCAATTCTTCTGTGCGAGACTCTACTGTATACTGTGACCTGCTCTGCCAAGAAATGACAGATCAAGAGTTTGAGAGTGCTTTTCGCAAAACTGTAACTGCTCTTGCCATCCGTTGCAATTAGCATGAACACAGTGATACATGTTGGAAACATTTGAAAGCAGGTAAACCTAGAGATGATGAGCACTGTAGAATGTGCATTGATGGTTCAACCCGCTCCTTTACTGACCTCGATCCTAACACTTTGTCTGTTCTATTGAGAAGACTACACCCCCGTATCAACAATTTTAATGATGTGGTCCTTTTCTTGCTCTGATGTAATATGGACATCAAATACATCGCATTGGCCAAGGCTGCAAAAGCTTTGGTTTTTTATGTAACTGATTATATCACTAAAAGTTTGCTTGCTACTCACATTCATCAGGAAAAACCCTTTTGCTATATAGCGCTATATAGCCACCACCTATATATATAAATGCATTCATAGAAACTATAGTACTATCAGTGCAATCATAGCTCTTATAGCTCTTATAGCACGGTAGTAGGCAAAATTTTAACCAAGGGGAGAAGTATCTATAATTCCCTCAAACTCTGGATTAATCTAATAAATTTGTTCAATAATAGAAAGAGGCCAAAAGTGTTTGGAGTCAAGTATATTATTATAGGCAAGATACTATAAGTGCTTTTATAGCCTATAGCAGCCTACATAGCTCCTATAGCCGTGAAGGTCATAGTTATAATATAGTTCAAGGTGCTTAAAAGGGCTAATAAATCATACAGTATTAATTAATTATGTAGCCTGTATTAGTGAAATAGTAGTTTGTATCCTTGATACTCACAAAATAAGAATAATGATTTATCCAAATATAAGTAGTGACAATGGGTATAAAATTAATCTAAGTCCATAAAAGGTCAATATATAACACCTGTATAAAACATTTTATAAGCTCTCATGGTGTAGTGGATAAATGTGATGTGTGGCTATAGGTTGCTTAGTCATCCAAGAGCTGACTAGCAGGTTGGGGGTTCAGATCCTATTTGTGTTGATTTTTTTCTATCAGCCACACAACAATTTCCAACATCTATAAGAGCATTTATAGAGCTATATGAAGAGGAACCAACACATGGTAGACCCGCTAATGCGAGAGGAAGTTTACTTGAAGGACATCCTCAACACAATTCACATATCCTACGTGTTTGTAATGTGCCTTTTGTGTCTGTCATTGTAGGCACAAACTTGCCCCGACCTAATCAATCCCCACAAGAACATGAGTTATGGTGTTGTGCAATATTGATATTATTTAAACCTTGGAGATCACCTACTGATTTGAAGGATGTCAATGATACTTGGACAAGCGCTTATGAAAACTACAACTTCGATGATGAATCTTTATCAACTATGAGAAACATGGACTGTAACAACCAAGAGTTTGTTACTCTGGCGCACAACTAGAACCAACTATAGAGGTAAATGATAAGGGAGTGGTTACCCTTTAGGCTTCAATAAGTTAGTTGTGAGGATACAACAGGAGGACTTGCTGAGGAGTCTCCTTGATCTATTGGTACAGGTTTGTTTGTACATGTGTACTGTACAGTTGATAGAGGCAGTGGCTGATGATGTCATGGGGCTTAGCTTGTGTAACCAGCTCCACTGTGTGAGAGACTTGTAGCTAAAATAAGAAGAAGGGCAGCGCAGCGCGAGAAAGTGGAGTTTGAACAAAAGGGAAAGTGCTGCATGGCACGGAGTGTGAAAACTACAGTAAAAATTTAAAGAGGAGAATGAAAATTAAAGGTTCAAAAATGTGTTATTGTAACATGGACATTGAAAATGAATGTAAAGATGCTCACAATTGTGATGTCATTCATCAGACATCCCATAACTTGCCAAGTCTGCTAAAACCATCAAATGACAGAGTAGTTGATATGGATTTAGATACTTTAGCAACCACCCTGTCTAATGACCCCACTTTACAAGACAATTCTGATGATGACGCATTGGGCAGCGATCCCATTGAGATTGAGGATATTTTGCCAAATGCCTGTAGGAAAGAAGCTGATCACGACACTGCAATCATAGCAGCTCAACCAGCAGGGCTCTTTGACACAATGTTACTTCCTGATGTACCTGCCCATCATGGTGCTTCTGTAACAAATAAACTTGACAAGGCTGAAATTCAGCTTCAAGCATTGTTAATGAAAGAACTTAAATGTAAGAAATGTCGACACACCGCTCACAATGATGTTGTTCATGACAGACACTGTTGTTGACAACACTCCTTAATGGATGCTTTTGAGTGTTCTGAGTGATTTTCAAGCATCCCATCACAGAATGTATCCTACCATGCTTGAAAGAGATTATTTACAAAATGTACTGTTTGAAAAAGGTATACTTGGTAATGATGAGCAAGAGTGTGCTATAAAAAAGATTTCAAATCATTACATTGCAAGAGATCAAGAATAATTATTGATGTATGTAGGAGGTGTTGGTGGTACTGGCAAAAGCCATATAATACATACTCTTGTGGGGTTTTTCCATTGTTGTGGTGTCAATGACCAAGTACTTCTCAGTGCACCAACTGGCTGTGCTGCTGTCTTGATTCAAGGATATACAATTTATTCCCTTACGTTGCTGACACAAACCAAGTGGAAAGGCATAGCTGATGATCTGGAAAAAAATTGGGAAGATGTGCACTATCTTGTTATTGACGAAATCTTCATGGTTTCTGCAAAATTCCTCATCCAGATATCACAAAAAATCAGTCACACTTGTGCTTGGGACCATGAAAATGATAAAATTGGATAATAACCAGACCAGGGATTGAACCTGGAACCTTCTGGATACATGCCAGCTGCTCTACCAATTGAGCTATATGGCCAAGGTTATACAATGTAGGATCTTAAACATGACATGCAACCACAGACGTCTTACACAGAATAGCTGCTGCATACTGGGCTGGCTTACAAATCAGAGGTATTATCCTATGGAGTATTGGTATGTCAGAGTATATTCTAACAGAAAATTGTGTGACAATACCAGCTGGAAGTTGTGGCAGGCATTTCTCCAACTGGAAAATATTTCATTCCTGTACAGGTGCCCTTCGCAGCCGGAAGTCCCCAAGGCGCCCTCTCTTAGAATAAGAAGTTTATTACAAAGTATCTTACACTGTACAATTATCCTTGCATTCTAGAGCTGAGCTTGAAAGACGTAGTATATGATGTCATACCTTTGTAAGAACCCCTATATCCTGCAAATTTCCTTGAAATAAGCTGCGCACCATTATCATCAATTTTATCCCACTCGTTGTTTCACTTTGCTTTGATGTCGCATTGTACAGAGCAGAATTCCAGTATACCTTTGGATGAGACAATTCTCCACAGAATGGATTTCATTTACATACATCACCCTGCCCAAAGTCCTCAACGAGTTCTAGAACTCATCTAACAACAAGTGGCTTGAAAAGCACCCTAAATATTGATATGTTCTCTTTTCAGATTCTACTGCCATTGCGAAAGTAGAGAACTGGGAAGTGTCAAAGACTACCAAGTACAGAAAAGCCTCATTGCATAGAAGGATAGCAAGACATATTTTTAAACATGACTTTAACAACAACCTCCATTTTGCAGTTGATCATCATCGCAAACAATTTGGCAAAGCAGTACAAAAATTGTCTAACAATGTAAGTACATATATTCTCACATCTTGTTAGCCTCAAGAAAACATATAAGGGATATCTGTGTGACTAAGGGTCGACTGGGAGTGGCCTCATATAAGGAGAACCATCTGATGATCAATTCAATAGTCCTGCTGGTATGTTTTTTTTTGGATTTTATTTACAGGTTCTATGTACTGATTTTAAAAGAATGTGTTCGGGCAAAATTCTATTGATGGACAGCCTTAATGCATTCTAGAAGTCCTCTCCAAAGTATAATGCCAAACCGGCAATTGCTGTGCATGGTCAAGATCTTGCTACTCAGGCCACAACAATCCTGTTATTGATGAGAGGTCATAATAAGGTGAAGAAACATGGCATGAATCACCATCTTTAAGAAGGAGGATAGGGCATGATGAACAACAAGCATTCAGGTTATGAGGTTGGCAGTAATCAGGTGGCGGCAACATATAGTAGTGATAACTGATAACTATTACAACAGCAACAGTACTATAATATCCCTCAGCACGGGAGCACGTCTCAGCATATGCTTTATTAGTCTTATCTGTCTCTTTCTTATCCGCCGCCTATTCCCCAGCAACCACAGCATGGTGGAAACATGGGCCCATACATGTCCTCCCTTTACTACAATCCTCGAAGCACCAATCCTGTTACTTCTAACCCGTCACTGTCCAGTCTCACCATCAACAGTAACGGTTCAAACAACTCAACTGGCTCTTGTCCTGCTGTGCCTTCTGTCCCATCCATGGTATCAATCCCTTCTATTTCCAGCCACATGTGCCAGTCTAACACTCAGCCGTTGAGGCAAGTCCAGCACCTTTAGGTTATGGACAGTTGCTTATCTAGGGCTGTTTGCCTGCTTGTGGTGGGCCTGTAGTCACCCCTAGATCTTAAACTCCTACCTCAACTTGGTCAAAGTGCACGTGTGAGGTTGTTGAACCAGATGAGTCTGAGCCAAAGAAAAAACCTGTAGCCAAAGTAAGTGAAGGGTAAGAAGAAAGAGTTGGGGGCCAAACACTTGAAGATGTTAATAGAACCTGTCATCAAGGAGGATAAATATGAGAGTGTATCAGAGCATACTTTGAAGCAGGCAAAATACATCCACAATATGGTCTTCAAGAAGGGTAAAAACATTATCACTGTAAAGGAAGCTGATGCCCAACATCAAGCCAGCCTCTTTCAGCTGGCCAAGTTGCAAGTATTCCATGAAGGGAATGCTCAGTGTACGTGTACTCAGATAACCCTAGAAGAGAATGCCCAGCATACTCAGCTTGCTGTTGAGGACATGCAATTAAAATGGTCTGCTCATGAACTTGAATCACTGAAGATTCAGTTCCAGATGGGCATTACCAGGCCTATGAACATTCTTCGGATCTCACCTGAAGTGTCACACTTCCCATTATTATCTGCATCTATCAAGCCCACCGGGGGTTTGACATCTCCATGTCGGCTCCATTTTCTCCTGACAGTTTAGACTTTAAGTCCAACAACTCTGCTGGGGGTTCAGCGCTCCTCACATTGGCTTTATTTGTTCCTGACAACCTGGACTTTGGCTTAAATTCCAATACGGTAGTCTTTGATATTGATGGCCCCAATAGCCAGGCTATCAACAAGTACATTTTGTCTTTTGTTAGTAGTACTAGCCTCAAGAATAAGGATTTATATGAAGGTGGGATTGGTAATGCCTAATGTTCAGCCATCGCTATTCTGGTGGTTGGTTTTACTTGTCAATTTTTTATGCCCCCATTGTTCTGTATATGCATCCCTTGTACTTTTATATTTTACGTTGATATGTTGAATACTTGTATGATGTTTTCATTGTTGCTGTATGTGCTTCTGTTGTTTTTGTAATGGATAATCAATACATTGCTTTGTTGTTTCTATTACAGGATATGATGTATTACCAGATTACATCAATACAAGTGACTGTTAAAGAGTGAAACAAAAAGACTTTGCCTAAGATCCTGCCATGGATTCTCAGGAATTTCTGGCTCTAGCTCATCAGTATCCATGTCCATATCCATTCCTCTATTGTCCTGTGCTTCTTGTTGCCAATCACTAGGAATGGCATTCTCTGCATTGCCTTCAAGTTCAATGATAAGGTTATGCAGAATGATACAGCAACAGATCCAGGCAATGGCAAACTCTAGTTTATTTTCTGTGTTGATTTGTATACATGGTTCTTTGAGGGACTGAAATCATATCTTGAGAAGTCCAATTGCTGTGACAACACCAACAAGATACAATCTTGGGGCACTGGAGCACAACCTCAAAGGCTACAACTCATAGGAATAATGGTACAATTTATCAAAGGAGGGAGGTTGTTGTCTTCACTAATGTTGGTATACACTAGGAGAAAACTTGCTGAGTCCTTCCCCATGTATTGCTCAGGTATATACACTACAATACATGAGGTACTGTACAGTTGTAAATAAAGTTTAAAGTGCAATATTTAGCATGTGATGCATGTGACCGGTCACATGATGTGTCTAGACACTGTTCAGGTGATGTGTCACGTGATCAGTCATGTGATTTGGAAAATGAAAAGTAAAAGTACAGAAAAGTGAAGCATAAGTAGGTGCTGGACTCATGCATGTGCAACTGCTAGAGTGGAGTGAGATGAGCGAGATCTGAGTCCTAGAGGTTTGGGCAAGGTCTGGCAGAGTCTGATCCAAGAAGCCGAGTGAAAATGGAGAGAGGGGCTTATGCGACGGATCAGAGTCTATCAAGACCTGGTGTGTCTATAGCAGAATGGGTCCACCCAAAACCAGTTGCAAACAAGCCATCAGGCAATAAAAGTGGTCGCAAGGGACATTGTGTCAAAAGGATTTGTTGAATCCAAGTTGCAATAGAGTAAGTGGGCTGCTTAAGATGGGCAGGAGACAGGCGGTTGCAGCCTTTCAGCACATATTTGAGTTGGATACCGGTATTGTAGATGTGATTTATGGCAATATGCCAAGCATGGACACCTGATAACACATCGTGTATGTAGGCAAAGGAGTGAATGCTGACATGAAAGGAGGCATATGCACAGAGGAGTTTCTTGGAAGCAAGGACATGATATGAGAGAGGGATATGATGGGAGTCGCAGAAGAGTAGAAATTTGCGTACACCCTGGTCATATTTTTTTGAGAGTTGTTGGTGCCCACACTTTGGTATTCTGAGTCGCGATGGGGCCAACACCTTAAGAAAAG